AGGGAGAAGCTGATGAAATATTTAGCATATTTGGGTTTTGTTTATTGCGCAAGGATGTAAATGTAGAAAGGCCAACATCTTAGTTGTATACTCAGCTAAAGCTCAATCCATACTAGCCCATTCAAATGGAAATTTAAAATATTTTTTTTCTTTTTAAGACTCCTGTGAACTTTCCTATGGATATTTGCTGAAGGTTGTGATGTAGTTAACATTAATAGTTAAGTAATTATGAGAGTCGAGACTTCCCTGGCGGTCCAGTGGTTAAGGCTTCGCCTTCCAAGGCGGGGGTGGGGGGGGGTGCAGGTTCTATCCCTGGTCGGGGAGCTAAGATCCCACATGCCTCATGGCCAAAAAAACCAAAACATAAAACCAGAAGCAGTATTGTAACAAATTCAATAAGGACTTTAAAAATGGTCCATATCAGAAAAATCTTTAAAAAAATAAAACCAACTTAAAAAATTATTATTAGAGTCTAACTTAATAAGCATAGTCCTAGAATTGCAACCACTTTACAAGCCACCTGTAAATGGATTCTCTTCTGTAAGTGGTCTTGCTTTGTTCATGCATGAATGCCTCTGGCCCCTATGGAACATGTTTATAAGGACCTGTTGCCTCAAGATGTTTAGAAAGTTCAAGTAGATTCTGAGCCCGATGAATGCTTTAGATCTGTACCAGTGCCCCACGGTTTTACAGCCAACATGTCTGGGACAGCCTGATGAGGTTTATGCCAGTTAGACCACCAGCAAAGAGAAATTCTACACACAACCTGAGCCCTTTCAGCATCCTTCTTTTTACTTTCCATTTTCATCACTTTGTTTTCCAGAACGCAGAACAACAGAAAAACTGGTTTGACGGGGAACACTACAGTCAGCTCTCTGTTCCCGCAGATGTCATCCTCTAAAGACAAAGGGCCAACTCTATTCCCTGTACTACTACATTTTATTTTTAAATTTTATTTTATTTGACTTTACTTTTATTATTTTATTTTATTTATTTACTTTTATTTAAAATTTTTTGCCTCACCGTGCAGCTTGTGGGGTTTTAGTTCCCCAACCAGCAATCGAATCCAGGCCCTCGGCAGAGAAACCACAGAGTCCTAACCACTGGACTGCCACTTTATATAAGGGACTCGAGCAGCCTCGGATTTTGGTATCCATGGGGTTCATCTTCCGTGTATACTGAGGGACCGCTGTATATTTTTCATATATGTTTCTTCATTTCCCAGCTAGCTAAATCTGAAACCAATCATCATTACGTTGGCTATTCCAATAGCCTGTGTGGGAGAAGATGGATAGGGGGAAACATTATGCATTTGAGTTCAGTTGTAATTCTGTAAAGCTTACTCCTCAAGTGGGATTTGGTGGTTGTTGGAAAAGGTAGGATACTTGTAGGAAAAAAATGTGGTGGTATTCTTTCCACTGCATGGCTGGTTAACACGTAGATGTAGCACTGTTTTCATATCTTGGTCTCAGTTCATGATACATGGTAAATTATAATTGCAGTAGTGACCCCGCATATGAACTGTCCGACATTATAATAAAACTTTGGAGCATCTTTCAACACATGAAAATCATTGCTGTGTCTATATGTTGATAAGATTTTCCACAAAACTGAGGATGGGGATGCGTGTTGTACAAACTGTTAACATTTTTGGAGAATCTTGCCCCCAAAACCTTCAAATACACAAGTTTCTTAAATATTAATAGGAACCGGTGAATCAAGCAAGAAGAAACAGAAACATAAGGAAATGTTCTCCTAGATGATGTTCCCAAGTTGTCACAAATTCCCAGACATCGTATTTTCAGAGCTACTAGGTGAATGCGCTTGAACGCAAGTGTTATCCTAATGCCCTATCCTAAACCAACCTATTTTAAATGATTATTGTTACTGTAAGTTGGAAGTAGGCTTCAAAATAAAACACATCTCTCATTCCATGTATTAATATATCTACATCAGGGTAATAGAGGAAATTCATGTGACCACGTAATTCTAAGACCCATTGAGAAATCAGGCTCCCCTCTCAACCCCGCCTGCCAGCTCCCTAGCAGGTCTTTGTAGTTTACTCAGTTACCTTCACACAATCAGGAATAGAAGGTATGCTCATGACTGATCATGAAAGAATGGCAAAAAGGCACACGGTGAAGAAGAAAGAAGGGCTGGAAAAAACTTGACACTAGATGTTGGAGATACACTTGTGTGGGTTCCTCTAGCAGGTCACTGGGGAGCCACTTGAAATTTTCTTTGTGTTAGTGTGTATGAACAGGAACATTTATGTATTTTGATGTATAGAAAATGTATTTATGGAACCATCCTGGCCTGTGGAAATTACTAACTTGCCCAGGTATAAGTAGGAGGAATTAGTGCACTGTTTCTCAGCTGACTCCATTTAGATAGAGAAATAGCATTTTAGCCATAGGTCATGATTCTTAGGGAGTTCACAGGACTGCATTCAGCATCTAATGAGAAAATGTGGGGAAGACAGAAAAAGATAGGGAAAAGACTTCTATTGGTAAGCATTATGCACAAGATTGGCAATGAGCTTAGTGATGAAAACTTAGGCTAGTTTAAAGATTTGGTGACTCCAGACCGTTTTATGTAGGAGTGTTAACATCAAATTGCCATAAGATTTATCTCTAAATATGGCAAGAGTTTGAATCACTGATGTAATATAGGAAATACATCTCAAGCTTTGTCAACGCTATGTCAGCAGCTCTCCATGGCTGTTTGTTCTCTTATAATTGGGAAAAATGACCAACCGTTAGACATGGACAAATCTCGATACCCTACACACTATTCAGTGAAATGCAGGCCCAGGCAACATTTAGACTGTCATCTATTTCTTCTGGAATAACTGGCCTGAATAAATGTGCGCCTTGACGACGGTATTAATTGACTCGAGATCTGTTCTAGCAAGTCTGAAGGAACAAAAATAATGCCATGTTAAGTTCAAAATACAGAAAACTTTTCCCCAAGTTGTTTGGTTTCCATACGTGAATTCCCAATGGCATTTTTTTTCACAGCATCTCCCCCAGAGATAGAAATTACTACACAATGTTGAATAGGGAACTGGAAGCAACAACAGGTTTCAGAAAATTATGGGGGGCTGCTTCCCAGTCTTCAGTTACTGCTTCTCTTGAAAGCATTGTCCCCTTAAATCGTCCTCCAGCTCTACTCTTTCTCTATTAAAGCAATAACCTCCATTCTGCTTACCTCTCCTAGAAATTATCCAATACAATGTTTTTCGTTGTTGTTTTATGGTTCCTGTCATCCCTCCTACATCTCTCCCCCATGACAGAAGTTAACAGTAATTGTCTGGTAACCAAGAGAGCAAAGGGGTATAAAATGCACAGAAGAGGATTTGGTTTCGCATGTGTGGGTTCTTGAGACTTGTGAGTTGATGCTGGGATTTGGGGAGCACAGTGAAAATTCAATGGATTTCTTGTATAAGAAATGTCAAGAACACCTTCAAATAGGGACTTCCCTGGCTGTCCAGTGGTTAAGACTCCATGCTTTCGCTGCAGGGGACGCAGAACTAGGATCCTGCAGGTTGCACGGCGCAGCCAAAAAGGAAAAAAAAAAAAAGAAAGAACACCTCCAGGTATTGGTTCTGCTTTGTACAGGGAGTACATTCCCTGCCCATACAAGTGTTTTTCTGATAAACACCTGCGCACTTAGTGTGCAATTCCCAGTGTAGACTGCTCTCTAACTTCCACAGGGAGGCATCCCCTGGCCCTGTCTCCTTTCTGCAGGGGATACTGTAATGTGAGCAATCAGCTAGTTCAGACCAAGCCACTTTTTGATGATAATGATGATGCCATTTAAAGGGGCTTCCAGAAGCCCCTTGGCTGTGCTTGTTCCACTCCCGGACCTTTCATAACTGAGATGTTTTTCCTTTGAGAAAAGTCATGTTTAAAAGGACCCATCATAATACTAACCACTATTTATTGGACCACTTATTAAGTGTTGGGCATTACATGAAATGTTTTACATGAGGAGGTTATCATCCCAATTTTTCAGCCAAGGCAAATGAAACAAACAATTTGCACCAAGTTAAATAGTAAATGGCAGAGCTGAGCATCAGACTTAGGTCTGTCTTAATACAAAGGATGTACCGTCGACCACTATAGTTCCCGGCCTCTCAGGTGCATCAAGACACCAGCAATGATCTGGATAAAAAATATTACTCCAATATCTTTACTTCAAATGTAGAAGGCTTGGGATTGTTCTGCTTTTGCACATGTAAAGACCCAAAGGGAAATGCTGTCATTCTGTTTTCCAAAAGAAAAAAAGCAGGAAGGAAAATATGTTAAAATCATGCAGCCGAACCAACAGCCACTAAAGCAAAAGCCAAGGCCAGTTTTGAGATTGGTACAGCCTCAGATGGTTGGAGTACTCAGTAAATAGAATCTTTCGTAATTGTTTTGTTTGCTCATCCCCAATCCCCATTCCTCCTTCCATCACCATTAAAATTTTTTTTCCATTTAAATATTATTAGATTAGGTAACTGGCATGTTTGAGTAATCCCAAATGCTTAATAAATGATTACACAAGAATTTATTTGGAATTACCTCAGAATCTTCTCTCTGAATTTCAAGTAATCTCTGTCAGTGTGTCTCTTTCCTTAAGCATTTTTCATTGATTTCATATTTTTCATCACCCCAATGGTGACTTTTAACTTGTGAATATCATGTGTGGAGAAGAAGCTGGATTTGTTTTGCCTTTTTTTTTTTTTTTTTTGCTTCTGTTAAAAATAATTTGCATTTCTTTAAAAACAAATTTATTAATGACAGCTTCTGGGGTAAAAGCATAGTTACCATCCCAACAAGTTCTGACAGATCAAGACTCTTGTTAACCTTCTTATGAGTGTCACGGAGAAGAATCACCAAAACTTCCGGGCAGCATTTTTTTTTTTTTTTTTTTGCGGTACACGGGCCTCTCACTGTTGTGGCCTCTCCCGTTGCGGAGCACAGGCTCCGGACGCGCAGGCTCAGCATTATTTTAAGGCAGCAATTTTTTTTCTTCTTAATTTTGTTAATCCTATTCTAGGCTTGATTGTTTGCTTTTTTTGTTTTGTTTTGTTTTAAAATAATAAAGTGATTCTAAGAGAGAAAGATTTTCTGGAGACAGAGATTTGTTGCTAAGGATGTGTTACTAAATTTTGCTGATTTTCCTTTCCAAGGTATCTGACGGCCCAGAGTCTACACCACCGACACCTGCACCCACTTCAGGAATTGTAGGTGCATTAATGGAAGTGATGCAGAAAAGGAGCAAAGCCATTCATTCTTCAGGTATATTTGCATGTGTATATATATATTTAATAAATTTGAAGTTCTGCTTCTCTTTTTATTCTGTGACACAATCTTTGCTAGATTTTCCCCTGCTATTGAATAACTTATTGATGTAGGTTCTAGGATATATTTTAAGTTGTTGCAACTGTGACTAGTCTATTTGAAGCTTAATGGATGTCAAGACACCACTGTCATAATCATAAATTGGAAGAACAACTTTAGCAAAATGACAATTTTGTTTCCTGAACCAGAAATACTAATAGAATGCCTGGCAAACAACTTGTAAACAAGGCTGGAGAGTCCTGAATCTCATTCCTGTGACATTCTTGTGACATAAGAAATTTAGGTTTCCCTGATTTGCAAGAGTTGGGGCTGAGAAATGAGATAATTTATACTGTTTCTAGGGTTTAGTAAAGAATCCTAAAGTTTTTTGTTTCCTCTTTTTTTTTTCCTAAAAGGCGTATTTGAATAAACTAGTACTTATTTGAGGTTATTAAACATATGTACACCACCACGTAAATGAATATCACTTTTAAAAGAGAGAAAGAATATGGGTTTTGCTGATGTGATGGTTGAGGTTTACTGGAGAACATGATGTACTAGAAGCAGATCTTTGTTCTTATTAAATCTATTACTTACTCCCTGCGGTGGACCTCAATTCTCCAGTTTGTTACATGTAGAGAATTCATAAATCAGATGATTGATATGAACAGTAAGTAAATTAATATGCAACTAACCAGCAGATTGCCTAGCACATAGTAGGTGTTCAGTAAATGTTATTTTCCTTCTCTTTCTTTCTCCTTAAGGATGTGGGTATCTAAGATCTTTTAGCAACATTTGTTTTTCTTAAATAGGCATTTTTATTTCCATACCGTGTTACAAAGATAGGATAGGTTAATTCAGTCCACAAATATTTATTGTGGAATAATAATAAAATAACAAAACAACAAAAATTCCTGCCTTCATGGACCATGCATTCTAGTGAGAAAGAGAGAGACAATAAATAAAACAAATTAGAAAATATGTATATTAAATGGTGATATGTACTAAGGACAGAAATTAAGCAGAAAAGGGAGATATAAGGACTAACAGGCCGTGAGAGGGAAGCTCATTTTGAAATAGGATAATGAGACCTACCTAAGATGTCATGTGAGAAAAGACCAGATGGAGTTCAGGGAGTAAACCATGTAGAAAACAGGAAAGTGCATACAGCCGGTACAAAGTTCCTGAGGTTGAGGAACAGTGCCAATCAAGGTCAGTAGGGCTGGAATAAGAGAGCAGGAGAAAGAAGAAGGAATGTAGTTTGAGAGGTGGCAGGGCGTCAGGAGTAAGGCTTTGGAAGCCATGAATGTGATGGGAAGCCACTGGAAGGTTCTTAGCAGAGGAGTGGCAGTGATCCAAGCTAGAGATGATGCAGGTTTGAATCAGGTTGGTAGCGCCTGAGAAGTGGTTGGATACCAGTTATACTTTGAATATGGAGGTCATTGGGTTTGCTGATGGATTGGAAGTGAGGTTTGGAAAAAAAGGAGTGATGGATAACTCTGAGGTTTTTGAACTGAGCAGCTGAAAGAGTGAAATTTTCTTTAACAGAGTGGGAAAGATTTAGGAGTAGCAAGTTGGAAAGGAAGGATTAGGAATTTGATTCTGTACATATTAAATTTGAGATACTTATTAAAAAATTAAAAGTAGATTTTGAGTAGACATTTGGTTATGAGTCTGGAATTCAGGGGAGAGATGTGAACGGTTAATATAAATTTGCATGTTATTAAGATATACATGGTATTTAAAGTTATGGAACTGGATGAGATCATCAAAGTGGGTATAAATGGAGAAGAGAAAGTTTAATGGGTTCGGAGCACTGGAGAGTGTGGTATCGTAGAAGTCAGATGAAGAAGTGTTTGAAGGAGGATGGAGTGATCATCTGGGTCAGGTGGGTGTGATGGGTCAGGAAAATGAGAACAGAGAATTGAGCTTTAGCTTTAGCGACGGTAGGTCCTCGGTGACCCGGAAAGAGCAGTGTCAGTGGGTTCAAGGGAGAATAGGGGGAAGAAGAGGAGATTAGGTACTGGGACTGCCTACTCCGTTTCCTTTATGGCTTAGTGCTGATGCCGTTCCCACCTGTCACTGGAATTATAATTAAAATTGGTAGCCAAACAATGTGCTGGTTATATTTTTTACAACTTTTCTTTAAAGACAGTCATTGAAGGGGCCTTTGTTGGGTTTGCAATATGTGAGCCTAAAATTCAGAGAGATCAACTCAAATGTGATTTTACATATAAAGAAACACAGGTTGAAACTGGTTACATAGATACTTAGGAACTAGGACCCAAGTCTTCTTAGTCATGTTCTAATCTTCAACTTACTATCAAATACTCTTTAGATGTATTTTACTGATTCATTTTAAACCATTTTAGTAGCTAGATTCCTCGAGGTTTGTGTTTTAGAAGCTGAATAATTAGAGAAGTCCCCTAAGAATTCTGAAGTGTCATTTGACTTATGCATATGTTTTAATTGTTTGTACTAATGATTCTCTTCTAGATGAAGATGAGGATGAAGATGACGAAGAAGATTTTGAGGATGATGATGAATGGGAAGACTGATCTATATATTATATATATATTTTTAAGGTGAAATACTAAACACTGCTTTCTGTCTATGGATTCTGTAAAATTATCATGTAAATGTTCTACCAATTTGCTGTATATTTTTGTTGCCTTTTTTGCTTTTTTTTATTAATCTGTGCAATACCTCATTTAATCTGTAAGGGTTTGTCATAATCCTCTGCAAAGCTACTCCCTGTTACTGTGTGCACGTTTACACCAGGATGCTCACTTAATTTGTGAATATTTCTCATTCCATCAACAAGGGAGTTTAAATATTATATGTGAGACTGACAAAAACCTTAATGTAATTTAGTTATAATGCCAGAAGGAAAACACTATTTTCATACCCTACTTTTTCTGTACCTAAATTTTCTTATTAAAATCTAGTATAGCACTACATTCTTTTTTAAGTGATGCAAACTTTAGTTTATTTAGCCCCTTCATTTCGAACACATGCCACATGAATGTTGAAGCTGATACATTGCACAGTTCTCTAGACATCACTACACTGATGCAGTTTCTCAAATTTTAGCAATATGCGCTATGTAAAATCACTACAGAGATGCTAGTTGGGAAAATGGTAACACACCTCTTACAGCAGTATTGACTGTTACTGTACAGGTGTGGTATTTGGAGGCTGGAATCATAAGGAGCCCTTGCATACCTATGCTTGACTGAGGTTATTTTTGTGCTATAGCAAATGTGGCAGGCTCTTTTAGGCAAAAATTTTAAAAATATTTTTGGTACTATTCTGAAACAAAAGTTGTTAAGGTTTGGGGATCTTGGAGATAATTTCGTTCTACATGAACTGAAGGAGGCTATACATTGTGGTTACTTCAATATTTGGTTAAATATATGGTAAAAATCAGAACATCATAAAAGTGTGTGGAATTAAGTATTTTTATTTTGCAGTCTGTATAGATTGAGGTATTCAGAAATACCAGACATAAAAATCTTACCTATTTGGCAAAGGTATACACTGTAATGATGAAACTATTATGCTGTTTTTTTTAAGTTTGATAATTTCTCAAGATTTTTGTCAAATGTCAGGTGAAGGGTTACATTTTTCTTAAAAGATTGGTGGTCCCAATGTCAAATTTCTTGAAATACAAAACTGAATGACAGATTTTAAAAAAAAAACAAATAAAACTTTACAACCTGCACATTTGTTATGTATGCTAAATGATACGATGCCTCTCTACAATACACTAGTCTGCCTAAAGGTGGTTGTTTCATATTTATAGCATTAATTATCATACCTACCTACTTTAAAGTTTAGGTAGAAAAATTATCTGATTTACATACAGACACCTATTTTTCTCACATTGAGTCATACTCAGAATGTAGTTCCAAATGTATTTCATTACTATAGTCACAATATCCAACTAAAAATTAAGCTGTCTATAATTGTACCGACCAAAATCTGGTGTTGGCATGATCTTGACAGGCTGGACCTGCAAGATGTGGCTTGAATTTTAACCAGTTATCACATAATCTCTAGTGATCATGCGTCTAGTTATCATGAGAAATAATTTAAAAGGTTTTGCTGAAAGCAGTAAGTGGTGCAGTAAAACAGTTAAGTTATTCAAAGAATGTTACCTACCTTGCAGGAATAATTTAAGAACGTGGGAAAGATTCTAGACTTTTTGTTTCTTGCAAAAACAGTGCCCTCTGCTGCTGGAAACCTTTTTCTGCTTACTCTCATTTTTATTGTGGCTTGAGCTCTGTGGGTCTGGTGTGGATGAGGCTGGACAACTACTAACCAGTAAAATTAGAAATTTGTGCAAATGGTAAATAGAACATTGTAATTATTTTAAGTAATAATAAACGTGTTCCTTTCTTTTGTTTTAGACATTATACAGAATTTTTAAAATATCTTAGAAATATCTTTAAAGTAATGCCAATTTAAGATCTCTGTTAACTTTGGGGCAAGGAATTCAGGGTTTCCCCGCTGACTTTGTTATGATAAAGATTTATCAGGAGCTGCTCTGAGCAGAGGATATCAATTCTTTGAATTGGAAACGCAATTTGAAATACGTCAGGTGGGTATAAAATTTGCCAGTGATAATCGAGTTTATTCTTTCTTCTTAAAGGAAAAGTAAAAGACTTTGTTGTTGTTGTTTGTTGTTGTTGCACAAAGTCTGAGTCGCTATTGGTTGAAACACAGCAGCTGTGGAGCTCCGTCCAGCCACGAAGACTAAATCCGCTTTAGACGTAAAGGTTGCATGTTTCAGTCCCCCACTGCCTTGCGTTGTGGACAGCACTACACCTGTGCACAGCCTGAGGGCCTCCCACGTGTGCTCCAGCTAAATGATTGTCTGACAGCCTTCGCCTTTAACAAACTAGCATGAGGCTTTTTATATCTGAATGCTGCGTGATAGTTTCAGCTAGCCACATGCTGTATGTATGAGATTCATAAAGACTCTCAATCATTCACTTCCATTTATCAACCGAAATTTTGTTTAGTATGTGAAATATTTTTTTGAAATGTATAGTGAATAGGATGTTGCACTGGTGGCAATTCATCATGGAGCATAATAAAATTAATTTGACCCAAATAGTATAAAATAGTGTGTTTCTTATTTGTTTATTGTCAAGAGATTAAAATGGGTAAAAAATCTTAAACTGTATAGTAACGGGTTCATAGCAGTGAACAATAAGGGTTGAAAGTTTTAGCCCACTGCATGCCCTGAGAGTTGGAGCGTGCCGTTAAATAAACATGGTGAGCAAAAGAATGTTACACCCTGTTCTGGGAAACGTGACGGCTGCTCAGCTGTTCCCCTGGGAGCCACTGCTGTGGTACACAGAGCATTCACATTGCAAGGTCAAACCAGAACTCTCGCACACCGAAAATGTTGCAGTTTCCTAAATCAGAGTAATAGTGGAGTTTACTGGTAGTTGCAGTAGAAACCAAATATAAAGTTCATGTGGGACTTAAATAGCTTTTAGTAAATGGTTTCAAACATGGTGCTTCCTTTTAAATAGGAAATTCAGTTTTTGATAAATAGAATTTTCTGTTCTCCTGGCCCTGGCACAAGTGGGTGTCTAAAGATTAAACTGAGTTACGGAATCCAGCGTGTAGGATGCTACAAAAATGCCTTCTAAGAGTGTTAGTCAAATTTAAACGTTTCCATAATGATATTTCCTATTACAAATTTTGTTTCTTAAAAATTTTTTTAAAGAGGGAAGTGCCTCAGAATTGCCCTTGTCGCATTATATTAATCTAATCAGTGAAGAAATTCCTGAAACAACTTACTCTGCTTTAGAAAGGGAGTTCTTAAAGGACAGCTATAGAGATAAGGCCTATTTATAGTACAATAGAAAATTATTTATGGAAAAGTTGAGAAATTTTATTTTGCACACCTATCTTACTGACATTGTCACATCATACCTCCACAACACAGCATACTCTTTGTAATCACTTGTTCTTTTATTCATAGATTGTTTTTTTAACTTTGCTTTTAGTGAAGCCGCTGGAAAAAGGCGTAATAACTTGGCTGCTATGAATATGATGGGGAACTTACTTTGCAGTTAATACGAAGACTGCCTTTACTTCTATATGTGATACATGGTATCCTCCCTTGCCATGAGGGAACCCATTGCAAATTTTGGCTTTAGAACAAAATCTAGATAAATCAACCATAGCTTAAAAAAACATTTTTTAATATATATCAATGGCCATACTAACTATTGATACACATATAGTATTACTTTTTACACAAGTCCAGTGTATATCTAAACTGGTCATGTGTACCACCATCACGATTGACAAGTCAAGATATGAATAACAATTATTTTGAGTAAAATGTAACAGTAGCTTATGGGTGGTTTCTGGCTTAGATGTTTGTGTATTGGGGAATTTCTAGTAAATCGAAGTAGCCCCTTAATTTTTTAACAACCAAAAAAATTTAAGGATTTAAAAATTTTTTTTATTTAAGAAGAAGTACAGCTTTAGCAGTATCAAATTGCATTATGGAACTTGAAGTTCCAAGTGTCATGTTGGCATTTTCTGCCTTGAATTGGTTGGCGTGTCCTGACCTAAATTCAGTTTTATCTTAGTTATTGCTAGATGTGTGAGGACTTTCATCAAGGCCTAAATTCTAAGATTTTTGTTTTTGCAGTACGCGGGCCTCTTACTGTTGTGGCCTCTCCCGTTGCGGAGCACGGGCTCCAGACGCGCAGGCTCAGCGGCCATGGCTCACAGGCCTAGCAGCTCCGCGGCATGTGGGATCCTCCTGGACCGGGGCACGAACCCGTGTCCCCTGCATCGGCAGGCGGACTCTCAACCACTGCGCCACCAGGGAAGCCCAAAAGTCTAAGAATTTTTAAGCATCAGTATCACCTTATTTAAACAACTGTTTATTAAAATTAACTATGTGATAGGTATTGTAAAATACAACAGTTCAGTCAGCTTCCCTCCCTCCTGAAATGTAAAATATTTAACTTCACAATTGAAAGACAGTTGGAGACAATCGAGTTATATCAAGCCTATTCTCCTTTCCTGGGTGAGAGGGTATCCAGGGTAGTTGAGGGCCTTGCCTGAAGCCCATTAGAAAGCTAGGTACTAGAAGCCAGATCCGGCTACTAGGTCAGTTGCTCTTTCCCATTTATTACCATAATACTGTTTTATCCTTGTTTTCTCTATTTTCCTTAAATTGTGGATAAATTGCAGATTTACTTTGTTTCTGAAAGATTTATGGCTACAAATGTCACCCTTTCTCACGTGTCAGCTGGGTGTTGATAGAAGCCTCCAGCACATCCTGTTGTCATCTGCCCGGGAAAGCTGGCTTACTTTGAGGAGCCAGCCTCTGACTCTAAGGCATGTGGTAGTATTCTGGCTCAGTGACGGTGGCCACCCTACATTGTCCAGGCATTCAGTCGTCACAGGACACTCCTGTCATTTAGTATTGGGTCGAAATGAAATTGAGCTTTTTATTCTACATCCAAATTATTTTCATTCGTTTCTTATATATGTAAAATGGGCATTACCTTTATATAAACGTACGTATTTTGTAAAACCTTAGTCAACGGCCTCACAGAAAATTACTTTGAGGATGTATTAATCTTTCTGTATAATTTCCAATCAACAGCTGTACTGTCAATGTAAAGACCAGGAGTTCTTCCAAGGAGTACAAGGACAAACTGAACACTTTAAATCTAATTTCCTGGTTTTCTTGTTAGTGAGACAGGGGAGATTCTAATTTGGTTGCATGTACTTCACCCTTATTGTAAAAGGACAGGAAAATAAAACATATTTAGTATTTGTGGTGTTGAAAGAAACAAGTGAAAGGAAAAGGCATTATGTCCAATTAACTGTAGGGAAACAAATCATCAAAGCTGTTCATAATATCTCAATTCTGTAGTTGTCTGTAAGACAATTCTGGTTCTTAAATCAGTTTCTGGGCCTAAAAAGAAGCAACCTTTCCTTTTTCTTCTCTTTCTTTTTTTTTTTTTTTTTAACTAGAGTGGGACTCCAAGGAGGCAGAGAACAGAAAGGAGGATTTTTGTCTGCTGCCAGATTTTTGTTTTAAGAATGGGATTGGGAAAACACGCAGCAAGTAAAATTAAGAAGTATATTCAAATCTCCATTTTGAAGGATGATAAGTAGTTAGGGAGAAGCTGATGAAATATTTAGCATATTTGGGTTTTGTTTATTGCGCAAGGATGTAAATGTAGAAAGGCCAACATCTTAGTTGTATACTCAGCTAAAGCTCAATCCATACTAGCCCATTCAAATGGAAATTTAAAATATTTTTTTTCTTTTTAAGACTCCTGTGAACTTTCCTATGGATATTTGCTGAAGGTTGTGATGTAGTTAACATTAATAGTTAAGTAATTATGAGAGTCGAGACTTCCCTGGCGGTCCAGTGGTTAAGGCTTCGCCTTCCAAGGCGGGGGTGGGGGGGGGTGCAGGTTCTATCCCTGGTCGGGGAGCTAAGATCCCACATGCCTCATGGCCAAAAAAACCAAAACATAAAACCAGAAGCAGTATTGTAACAAATTCAATAAGGACTTTAAAAATGGTCCATATCAGAAAAATCTTTAAAAAAATAAAACCAACTTAAAAAATTATTATTAGAGTCTAACTTAATAAGCATAGTCCTAGAATTGCAACCACTTTACAAGCCACCTGTAAATGGATTCTCTTCTGTAAGTGGTCTTGCTTTGTTCATGCATGAATGCCTCTGGCCCCTATGGAACATGTTTATAAGGACCTGTTGCCTCAAGATGTTTAGAAAGTTCAAGTAGATTCTGAGCCCGATGAATGCTTTAGATCTGTACCAGTGCCCCACGGTTTTACAGCCAACATGTCTGGGACAGCCTGATGAGGTTTATGCCAGTTAGACCACCAGCAAAGAGAAATTCTACACACAACCTGAGCCCTTTCAGCATCCTTCTTTTTACTTTCCATTTTCATCACTTTGTTTTCCAGAACGCAGAACAACAGAAAAACTGGTTTGACGGGGAACACTACAGTCAGCTCTCTGTTCCCGCAGATGTCATCCTCTAAAGACAAAGGGCCAACTCTATTCCCTGTACTACTACATTTTATTTTATTTTATTTTTAAATTTTATTTTATTTGACTTTACTTTTATTATTTTATTTTATTTATTTACTTTTATTTAAAATTTTTTGCCTCACCGTGCAGCTTGTGGGGTTTTAGTTCCCCAACCAGCAATCGAATCCAGGCCCTCGGCAGAGAAACCACAGAGTCCTAACCACTGGACTGCCACTTTATATAAGGGACTCGAGCAGCCTCGGATTTTGGTATCCATGGGGTTCATCTTCCGTGTATACTGAGGGACCGCTGTATATTTTTCATATATGTTTCTTCATTTCCCAGCTAGCTAAATCTGAAACCAATCATCATTACGTTGGCTATTCCAATAGCCTGCGTGGGAGAAGATGGATAGGGGGAAACATTATGCATTTGAGTTCAGTTGTAATTCTGTAAAGCTTACTCCTCAAGTGGGATTTGGTGGTTGTTGGAAAAGGTAGGATACTTGTAGGAAAAAAATGTGGTGGTATTCTTTCCACTGCATGGCTGGTTAACACGTAGATGTAGCACTGTTTTCATATCTTGGTCTCAGTTCATGATACATGGTAAATTATAATTGCAGTAGTGACCCCGCATATGAACTGTCCGACATTATAATAAAACTTTGGAGCATCTTTCAACACATGAAAATCATTGCTGTGTCTATATGTTGATAAGATTTTCCACAAAACTGAGGATGGGGATGCGTGTTGTACAAACTGTTAACATTTTTGGAGAATCTTGCCCCCAAAACCTTCAAATACACAAGTTTCTTAAATATTAATAGGAACCGGTGAATCAAGCAAGAAGAAACAGAAACATAAGGAAATGTTCTCCTAGATGATGTTCCCAAGTTGTCACAAATTCCCAGACATCGTATTTTCAGAGCTACTAGGTGAATGCGCTTGAACGCAAGTGTTATCCTAATGCCCTATCCTAAACCAACCTATTTTAAATGATTATTGTTACTGTAAGTTGGAAGTAGGCTTCAAAATAAAACACATCTCTCATTCCATGTATTAAT